CTTCATGATACTTTCAAGTTTAATTTTAAGAATAATCTATTCTATTTTAAAAGATGATTATATATTCCAAAAAATAAAGTATAATTTTGTATTCTTCAAGCTCATCATGGTTTTTTAAAAATTGGATATTTTTGATATAATAATACTTTAGAGCTAATATCAAGAGATTTTTTGTGGCCACAAATGTGAAAGGAAATTAAAGACTTTGTATAATCATGTGATATTTTTTTAAAATCAAAAACTCCTCATTATTGATCTTATAGACTTCTTCAGCCATTACTTATTTACAAAACAACTTTAATCTTCTATTTCTATAGATTTTATCATGGATCTTCTAGTTTCAACTTCATATGATTCTATATTTGTGATAGTAGATCATTTTACCAAGATGGAAAAAAATTTATCACATACAAAATCTATCATAGATAAAAAAAAATGGCTAAGTTTTTTTTTAATAATATCTATTGTTATTATGGATTGCTCAAAGATATCATATTGGATAAAAAGGCTCAATTTGTATCAAAATTTTAATAAATCCTTTTTAAGATTTTAAAGGTGGATATAAAGCTCTCTTTGACTTTTTTTTCTTCGAATTTATATACAAAAAAATAGGTGAATTTAGTTTTGGAACAATATTTGAGGTATACCATTAACTATCATCAAGATGATTGTACAATTCTTTTGTCATTGGCAGAGTTTGCATATAATAATTTAGTATATTTTTCTACTCAATAAATATCTTATTTTATCAATTATAATTATAATTCATAATTTGATACTTTAACTTTTCAAAAATTAATAATCTTATAGCAAAAGATTTTGCAAATCATTTGTGAAAGCTACATACAATAATGAAGGCACAATTAAAGGAAGTTCAAGAATGACAAAAGATTAATGTGGATGTCTATTATAAAAAATAACTTCAATTCAACGTAGATGACAAGATATGATTACTTTGTTGCAATATCAAGACAATTTATTCTTGTGATAAATTGGACTATTGTAGGCTTTGATCTTTTTTTATTTGTGAATAAGTCAATCATATTGCTTATCAATTACATCTATTGGAATCTATAAAGATACATTTGTTATTCCATATTTCTCTTTTTAAGCCATATAAGATAGTAAATATCTTGATAAGAAGACAAATACCACCTCTTCCTATAGAAATAAATAATGATGAAGACTTTAAGATAGAAGAAGTCTTAGATTCAAGGTGGTACCAAAATAGATTGAAATATCTTGTTTATTAGAGCGGATATGATATTAGTGAATGTACATAGAATTTAATAAAGAATCTTATAAATAGAATAAAGAATATTAAAGCTTTTCATTGATGACATCTATCAAATTTAAGATGAAAAATAGCAAATATTTGCTATAAAATAATCAAAATATAAAGAAGATAGTATTTTACCTTCTATTTTTATTTATAGATTTTGTGTATTTGTAGTACTAAGAAGATGGAAAACCAATAATTAGTAAATTCAATTCAAGAATTAATGTTTGTTGAATTATCAGATAAGACATTGCAATTGTCACAATCTTTAAGACAACATAATCAAAATGAAGATCTTAATAAATAATATATTCATTCTCAAATAGATGGTTAGATATAACATGTTTAGTATTACAAATTTAGAAGAAATTTTCAATGTTTGGTGATTTTATCAAAAATAAGAACAACTCTTGATAGTATTCCAAATGTTTTATTTTATGTGAATTATGATGGCATCAACAACAATGAAATAAGAAAGTGGTATTTTTGCCCTATTATGAGACACTATTGATGGTTGAGAGGACCTATCAATCATCTTCAAAGAAAACAAAGATTAGAATATGTAGCAAACACAATTTCCTACATCTTAGATTTTTTTAATGTATAATGATTTTTCTTTGTAGAATTCATCATTAAAAGAGGGAGTAATATCACGGATATACATATTTATTCAAATAATTACCTATATGATTAAATAGAAGTATGTAAAAGTATATAAATTTTATAATATTTTTTAAAAAAGCTTTTTAGAAGCTTCATAGATGCTTCTTTGACTTTACATGTATTTTTAATTAATTGATGGGCAAGAAACTTAATCAACAAAGTAGCCACATAACACACATGTTGGTAGCTTGTAAAATAATTTAACTATATGGGACACATATAAATAACTTGCCTTACAAGTTTAGTCATGTGTCTAGCAATGTCAAGAAGTATTGGAGTTCATATAGAATATTGTCATGTAGCTCGTAATTAGAGAGTATATATGGAGGCAAGAGTGAAGCCTTCTTCAATCTTGTCAATGCTTTTCTAGTCCTTAGTCTTGTTTTGAAACTTTTTAATTTACTTGTCTTTGGCAATAGCCATTTTATTTCAATATTTTACTATCTTTAAGTAATTTTTTAGTCTTTTTGAATGACACAAGGGTGTATTGAGATTTCATTTCTTTGAAACTAATATCCTTGATACTTATGTAGAAAGAACAAAAATTACATCTAAGACTTCTAACTATGACTCTACCTATCTATTCTTTTAGTTATTACCATTGAATATTTTTTTAGATTATTTAATTAAAAGTTTATATAATCTAATTTTTTTTCAACAAAATTTCATGGTTCTTTTAGACTATAACAGCGTACTTTAATTTAGAGGGTCAATATCTTCATTGATATTATTAAGACACATCTTAACTTTTTTTTTAAAACATATTCTTTAGTGGTTTAAAAACCTAAATTTTAAAATAAAAATTCCTTAAGAAATTTTTTATTTTTTATTTTTCTAATATTCTTTTAAAAAAATTATATACATATATATATATATATATATATATATATATATTTTTTTCTTTCTTTCTTTTTCATCTATATTTATTATTTATTATTCTGATATAAATCATTATGTCCTACTAAATTCAAATTTTTAGATTTAATGCTCACATTATATTCTAAAATTCTTATTTTTTTAATTCCAAATAGTAAGTATTTTTATTAACGTATAAATAATTATCAGTTTTTAAATTTTATCTCCAAAACTTATCTTACTTTGATACTTTTTCTATCTAAGGAAGTGACTTGCAATCACTTTACAAGAAACCTCATTAAATGAAAAAATTATTTAAATTTAGGACTAATATTTCTATATTTATTATATATAAACTTTTAAGAGTTTTTATTTTATTTTATTTTATTTTATTTTATTTATAAAATATTTTTTCAATAGAATCTATTTTAGATTTATTTGTTCAATAACACTTCTTTTTCATATTCTTTTTAGAAACTTATATTTCGTTTCATTAAATTATTTTTATTTGCTATGTAATACTTTAAAACTTCTTTCACATAGTTATTTATTTATTAAGATGCTTGGCTTAAGTCATCATTTAATATTATAAGTCATTTCTTTATTCTATTGTTCATGTCTCTTCCAATTTAGAAAGTAAATGCCATCATCTTTTTTTTCAAATTCTTTATTAATTATTTTATAAATTTTAGTATTGCTTCTTTTTAAATATATATATATATATATATACTAATTTCTTATTGAATGCCATGACCATATATTACAGACACACTGATTAAATGAGATAAGACTTGAAAATTTGAAAGAAATAAAACAAAAGAGATTTATTTTATATCACAAATAAGAAGCTATGACAAGGCACAAAAAGAAGATCAAAAGAATCAAGTTGAGTCATAGGAATTGTATTGTCAAGATTGAAGATCCACTCAACATTAACTCTTATATGTATTAGATGCAAAGAAGCTTCTTAGGAAGTCTTATTGATGCTTAGAAGTAAAGCAAGCTCCCAAGAACCTTCTCTACTCATGTAAGATTTCTTAGAACCTTCTAGAACTTGTCAAAAACTTTTAAGAATATACTAAAATCTATTGACTTCTCAAAATTATTTAAAAACTTCTAAGGTCTAGTAGAACCTTCTAAAATATTCTTTTATTATATATTTGTGACATCTTTTCCTTCTTTAGCTCAAAGTTCCATGAAGAAGAATAAAATTGAAGTTGATCAAGTACAAAGCAAGTTAAAGATATATTGCATGGTATTTGCTACATACTTAAGTTGTCTTTTGCAAGTCAAAAGATTCATTGATTCTTGCAAGCAACAATAGTCACCAATTCCTTCTATTATAGATCAAACTTGAATTTTGTGTCTTTTTTACAAAACCATCCTTCAAAAATTTCTTCAAGATGTCCTTCATGAGCAAGTTTTAATTTAATGACTATTACTACAAAGTATTTGTTAGGTATTCTTTGACATCTTCTTGGTTCTAATTGTTCTTTTTCTTAAGGTTGTTAATATAAAATGTTTGGTTGACATGGCCTAATTTGTATAGTATTTTTTTTCTTAAATATCTAACTATGCAAGCTAATTAAAAACATATTTCAATTTTAAAATAGAATAAAACGACTTCAAGATTTCTTAGTTTATATGAGAATTGAACTCTTAAAACTTTTTAGAACTACTTCCTCTCTTTCTACCAAAATATTACAAAATCTAAGATAAAAAATATTTAGATATGTTAAATAAGAATATTATTTAATACCAATTGCTACTTTAGATTTGAAAGGATGTCATTAATAAATCTTTGTATCTTTTATGGAACATTCACTAAATTTTTCAAAAACTTTATTCTATAGCAATTGTCTTTCAAATTTTACATTTTCCTTCAATTCCAAAATTAAATATTCTAATAAAGTTAACAAGTTTCTTATATTTTCTCAATATTTTACTATTTTTTTTTGGTTATATTTCAATATTCTAATTTTTGTAAGAAAAAAATTACATAATTTGGTTTTATTCAATGCTTTCTTTTTATGTCTTTGATTGATCAGTCTTGACTCTCAGTCATTTTGACTTTCTTTCTTAAAGTTTTCTCGGCTTCGTCTATTATTAAATTCCTTACTATTTCTTGTTAAGAACACCTGTGCAAGTTTTTAAAACTCCTAAAAAAAGGGAGAACTGGAAGGATAGAAATTTGAAACCTGTATTAAGATTTTAATATATACACAACTTTATTAGGATTTACAACTCTTGTAAGCATCACCTGGATTGGTTATTATGAAAATCTTGTATATTCGCATAAAGCGGCTTGTCTATGGAAACACGTAACTCTCCACAAAAGACTTCCCCTTCAAAGCCAGAGGGAAGTTCAGCTACAGGGCTATGACGCGTATCCGACATAGTGCTTTATCTTTCATAATTTATCAAAATTGATGCGTCGCCTCTACAGTTGAAAGCATATTCCTCTATGTATGCATATATGTTTCTCAACGTGGACCTTCACTTGTCGTGAATCTAAGCTTTCAGAGCGTCGGTGACCTGAGCAATGACTCCAGTGGCGAATGTACCCTTGCAACCTTCAGAGATGATCTTTTTATCGTCATCACATCTATCTTTGTTGTCATTGCACCACCTGGTTCTATCCAGCAACTCGACTCCCTTCTCCCATTTCTTGGCACTCACAGCTTCAATGAAGTCATCAAACGCATTTTCCTGGTACACGTCCTTGCCTGCTTAGGAGGTTAAGAACTAACCTTGTTAATGCGTGATTCCCTACACATCTTTGTTACGTTTGAGCTACTTAATAGGTACACATAAGTCGAGCATCGTCGTATATTTAAAGCCAACAACATTACCTCCAGAGTGTTGGATGTCGCCAAAAACGGCCATGACGTCGCAGCACTGGTCGTCTAAGGACTTAACGCTTTTGGCAGCTCTATCAAGGGCACGTTTAGCATCTAAAGTGAGCAGGGCACTAATCTGGATTGTGTTCAGGCAGTCTTTCCCTTCGTAAACCTGCAATTTCAAACTCCAGAGTCTCAATCACTTGATGAAAATAACCAAATCCATTTGCATGCACGAATCCATGCAAAAGAAAATGACACAAATCATTTGACAACAGGCATGCACATAATCTGCACCTTGTCGTAGTCAGCAAAAACAGCAGTAAGCTCAGACCGGCGAGACTCTACGTCATCATCCAAGTTATACGCCACACCAACAGCTCTGTCACCGTTAGTCAAATTATACGCGCACGAGTGCTTCCCATCGTGCTTCATGAACAACGACTCTGTCGTAGGAATGCAAAGCGCACGAATGGCGAGGGAAACCGCTCCTTTGCACATCTTCCTGCTCGCCACAGCAGGAGTCCCCATGAACACCCCCAAGAAAAGCACACATATCACCACGGCGGCGGCGGACTTCGCCATGATCTCAACTCAACGCACTCTCACGCCGACAATCCTTCTTCAAAAGAACTCGAAACACCTGAATCGAGGTATGATCGACGCAATAATCAGATCCCCTCCTCTTTCACTCCTTCGAAAGCATCACAAATTCTATGACAATCGATTTCACCTTCTAAATAGACATTCATGCACACATTCACATGCAGTATTCAGTTCCACCGTTGCTAGCATGAAAGGAGACTAAGTTCCCGGAGCGTTCCAGCGATTGATCGACGTTTGATGATCGCTGGTACTGTAAAAGCAACAATAGAAAGCAAGCTGGAAATGGAAACGCAACAAAGCTAAGAAGTTGTACAAAGTGAAGACGAAGGGCGGGGGGGATGTGGCAGTCCACGCCAGATTGGGGATGCCACGTGGTGGTGTCATGCAGAGAGAAGGGGTGGGGACCAATGGGGCGTCGCCTCGCAGTTGGCTTGGATGAGTGGGGTGGCAGTGCTCTTGCGACGTGCAATGTTTACCACAGGATCTGACGTGTCATCCGATGTAAATGCTGGCTAGAGATGGGGAAATATCGGGATTAAGCGCTGACTGGGTGTTTAATTGAAAAGATTAGATTAGAATACATTTGGGGTTTTTCGGTATTGATAATCATAGTAACAATAATGATAATAATAATCTTATTAATATGTGTTTCCCTGGGTTCTCCTGAATATTTATTTTTATTTTTATTACATTGTTAAAGTAAACAAAAACCGAGCAAACCAGAGAAAAAAAAAAAAAAAAAAAAAAAAGAAAGAAAGAAAGAAAGAAAGAAAGAAAGAATAGTTGCAAGGTTATTGCATTCTTATTGATTTGTGGTTGAGGGCATGAAAGTAAAAATAGAAGAGTGCCTTCAAAAGTTAGATAATATATATAGATAATTTATATATAGATAGATAGATAGATAGTACACACACGTTATATTCTAATGTTAGATTTTATGAACTTTAACAAAGTTCTAGAATTCTTTGTCGTTATGCTAATCATATTATAATCTATGATCTTGTAAATGCTACTCAAAAACTTAAATTGTATGTGTCTTTATCTAAAGCAGATGGAGTAACAATCAAATGGTTATTATATTATGATTTTTTTTAATAATGGAACGAAATTTGAGGTCATTCACAAAAAAAAATACTATATTGCAAACTATTGTATTGCAAATTTACATGTGTTTTTTAAAAAAGAATTTTGTAGAATTTTTTTTATATGGGATCCATGTTTTCTATTTAAATACTTGAATCTCATCAGGCATAATATGAAGTTCTCTCGAATGATTGTGTGTGTTGCTAAGGACAACTTTGCACAATGATGGGGTGAATTACTGTTTTTTTTTAATGGAGTATCATACTAGCTTTGACGGTCTTTTAAAAACAGTGCTCCAAAAACACGAAATGATATTTATTAAAAAAATAAATTTGCTTTACTTATAATCTAAAGAATATATAAATCAAACACACATATAATTATATAAACCTAATTTATGTAATTCTTCTAGCTCATAATTTACAACCAATCATGATTTTTACTACTTTTGCTCTATTCACATCGACTTGTGGTTTGTTTAGAAATCTCTCTCATCTATGAAAAAAGTACATTATGTCCACATAATGTTTTATAAATTTTTTTAAAAAATTAAAATGAAATAAGATCATTTAAATTTTAATTAAAAAAATTGATTTTTTTTATATAACCATAGTAATATTTTAAAAAATTACAATAAATTTAATATTTAAAATAATAACAAAAAAACATGATTAAATTTCTAGTATATATATATATATATATATATATATATATTTAAATGCTCATAATAATACTAAATTAAATTTATTGTAGATATACACAATTATGTGCGTTAATATTAATTTCTTTTATAGATATTTAAAACATTTACAAAATCGGAATCTATTACTATTTGATTAATTACATTAATGCATATAAATTACTAAAATTGATGCAATTAACAAATATGCATGCATGTGCAACTTAAATTTTTGGAGCCAATACAATCAATTGCAATTTATTTATATCTTTTAAAAAATACCTTTAATTTAAATTATTAAAAAACTATTAAAAATTTGATTTCTCCAAAAACTTTTAAAATCTGTTATAAGCAACAATAATGTAGAAAATAACAGTGTTGTTTAAGATATATCCTACTACAAAGATAATAGCTCTTGTTTGCATTTTATATAATTAATACTCAAGCAAACTCAAATCTTAAACTTTTATTTTTATTTTTATCAATTTATATTATTTTTGTAATTATTATTTGTGCCAATATCTCAAAAATATTATATGCTTTCTTAAAAAAAAAATTCAATAATCCAAAATATAATTTTTTGGATATGCATACAATATTGTACACCAAAATTAATTTCTTTTTCAAAAGCAACATTCTTCTAAAACTATATTCTACATAAATCCATTATCTTTTATAAAAATACTTTTATTCAATACTTGGATGATTCTTCACAATATGTGCATAAACACAAATATTATACAAGTGGCCTTAATAATAAAGCCACACTAGAAAATACAAGATGCAATTCAAATAGCAAAGTGAGATTTTTTAATAAAAATTACATTACTATAAATCCTATCAAAATTCATTATTAGAACTTTCTTTTCTAGTATTAAGGGATGGAAAAAATTAGTAAGAGCACATTATATAGATAAATGGCTTTAGTCAAGAATTTATGTGAAGCAATATCAAATTATACAATAACCATTTCACTACTTTAATCAAGTGTATAGACATGTTTGGACAACATACAATACTAGAAATATTACTTTTATAGTTAGAGTCCACAATGCAATTATGTCACAGTAGAAGAGTTCTTAAGACTACTTCAAGAAAATAAAATTTTAGCATTCTAAAAGAGAAAAGCTTGTTAAGAAATTAATATGCACAAATTGAAGGCTATTACAAACAAAATTTATGTTCAAAAGATTTTAATCTATGCTGATTTTAAATATTATAAAGAAAAAGTTAGGAAAATGATTTTTTTAAAAATTTGTTTAGATATGAATATATGTGTAAGAAATCTCTTTTCATCTTAAAAACATTTTTTATATTATAAATAATTTTTTATAAATTCATTTTTGTAAAGATCCCTACTATACTATATGGGTGCAAATTCTACAAATTGTCATGTGATGTGGCATTAGGTGCAAAACCATGTTGGATGGATATAATGTATTTTAATTAGTGGATTTTCATCCACTTAGTATTTTATGATAGTTGACCTTGTTTGGGTCAACCAGAGTTTGAAGATTCAGGTGGAAAAGCCTTGTGACATTTTTGTCAAGTCAAATCTTGTGAGTATTTTTAAGAAAAAAAGCTCATAGTTGTAAAATTTTGCTTGGCTATGATGATTTAGCCATTAAGTAAGGTTATTTCTACGCACTTGCACTCCTACATTCTATGTTTGTGGTGTGAAAGATTCCTGTGTCTTCGGTGGTGTTGATTCCTTTGTTTTTGAGCTTGAGTACTTGTTGTTATGTTCATAACTGTGTCCGAGGAATTTCTTTGGGGCGCTTTGTTGATTTTGAGTTCGTGTAGGAATTTTACCGCTCCATGCTCCTGTGCTTGCGAGGTTGTTGATTTGTCTTTAGGGACTTCTGAAGAGGAGACAACAGCAGAAGAGTGGTCTAGGTTTTCAGAGATTGAGACTTCCGAATTGGTGTTGTCGCCTTCTGAAGATTGTAGCCAAAAGAGAGGTGGTTGAACAGCAAGATGCTGTTTTAGCTAGTGAGATTAAGAAAGTGATAGACTGTTTGATTGAGGAGAGAGATGTTCTATGAAGTGTCCTGGAGGAGATACGGGAAAAAGTTTCATATCTATGTGGAATTTCACCGGAGGCTATGGATGACGTAATCTTTGTTTGTGCAGCGAGGCTGCAGTCGCTGATTGTGTATATAGACTTGCACGGGAGTTGCGGTATGTGAGTAGGCTGTGGCTTTGTTCTCTACAGGACTATGAGTTTCAAGAATTGGGTATAGGTATTTTCTTAAGGATGGTATAGGTATAGATCAGTGTGCACCAATGCTAATGGTTCAGTAGCTCGGAAGGGAACCGCTCACGAGTCTGCTTGCCTTGCTGACAGGCAATGCAAGTCTGAGATATCACCAAAAATTGCGGTTTTCCGGCAGCTAGTTTATGTTTGTTGAGCAAAGTGAGGCTTGCAAAGTTGATGTGCCCGAGCCTGCAATGCCAGAGCCTCAAAAGATGAACAGGAGCTGAATTATGACTAGGGATGCCATCTTGATCTGGGACGTTTATCTCAGCGTTGTGAGCAAGCGGTTCCGTGATAGCGGTTGGCTTGTATAGCCCATTCGACTTTGATCTTCTTCTAGAGGCATCTACACGGTTGTGTTTAGTTTTGGTAAGAACTTTGTATGTAGAGGAGTAAAAAAATGCTATGTGACTAGAAGCTGTGAGTTTTCCTATCAAAACAATGTTGTGGTAGAGACCTGGCACATACTGAACGTCACCAAGGGCTTTTATTTCACCAGATGGAAAGGATACCCGAGCAGAGCCTTCTCCTTCAATTACATGTGCCTGGCCTCCAACCGAGGTCACAGAATCAGCTTGGGGTGGATCTAAGAATTGGAATAAATTTTTGTCTTCTGAGAAATGTGCTGAGGCTCCAGAGTCGAAGATCCAATCTCTCTCTCTGGGGCCAGTTTCTAGGCTAAGTGCATCAAGTGCGGCTTCAATCATCTCTTCAGAAGGAAGATGAGGCGAATAATGCTCACCGAATGTTTCTTCCATTAAATTTGCACCATGACTGAATTTGAGTCCTTGGTGTTGTTCCGAACGATTTTCTCCCATGTGTCCTCCTGAAGGTCCTCGGGAGAAAGGTGTGAATTGAGCGAGTGTCGGTACTGGACAATACCGAGAGGTATGTCCTCACCTTTTGCTCTGTTGCAAATAATTCGTCCGGGTTGAATTGTGGTCGGTGTTGGTGTTGACCCGGGGAATCTCCCGAAGATCAAAAGCCGTGAGTGTTGTGATATGGTTTATAGCGACATTGCACCAGATTCCAAATGCGCATTATAAGCGCTTCACTGGGCTCATTACTTCGCATAGAAATAAAGTGTTCTTCATTGTGGAGTCGAGCAGATTGTTCCTCCAGAGACGATATGGATTCTTTTGTTCTGGATCTGTCGAGCTAGATGCTGGAAGCGAGGTGGTAGTCTATTGAGAATGCGGTGAACGATGACAGCGTTTGGCTGTGGCTAGCCGATGGCTGTCATCTCTCTTTGGATTTTATAAACCTTGGTGATGAAGGTAGAGATACCCATCTGATTGGTCACGCAAATATTTTCCCACTTCTTAAGTACCAACATGGTGTCGGCTATAGTGTTAGATTGATACATCGAAACCAGTCGTTTCCAAGCAACTCTAAGGTCGGAGATATCTTCAATATACACACGCAGTTCAAGTTGGATTGAGATTTTAATATAGGACTTAGCTTTTATCTGTTTCCGCCTGGGTGTGTCGCTGGCAGTGGATGCAGATGCCGTAGAGGCGGCCGGATGTTGAATGACTTCGGGAGTGGTAGCTGAGTCGTTGAGTTCTAAGGTTGAGGTCTCCGCTGCTGTCGATGTGTCCTCGCTGATGACATCCCACAGATCGTCCCTCTGAGGGATGTTGCGTAGTGTGGAACGTCATAGTTTAAAGTTGGAGGGTCCCGAGAGCATGGCTTCCCTGGATACGTAGTATCCATCGTGTCCATAGTTAGGAGAATACGGCTATATTGGGACCCTAACAGTTTCAGTAACGAACATATAGTAGACCCTTGTTTCGTAATACACTGAACAGTCATGATCCAAGGAAGAGTCAGGACACTTCTGGTTGTTATATATTCTGTACAAAACACACACTTTATAATATAAAAATAAAAACATTCATCTTGTTTAGTATATAGGCAAGTCCAATATGGTATCAGAGTGTCAATAGCAATAGAACTTAGAAGAATAAGTTCAAAAACATAGAAAACTAGAATTGCACGCTCTTAAGAGAAAGGGTCTCTCACGAGTATAGCTTCCAATAGCCTCATCACCAAGGAATGGCCAAAATTTGATAGCTCTTGGTATATTGTATAGAAACAAAAGATAAAAATGAAGTTTGAAATAGAAGAAATGTGAGAAATAGTTTTTGGCATAGAAAAAGAACCAATACCAATTTGAAATACAAGCGTAACAATATAATCACCACCAACAAACTACAAAGAAATACAAACATGGAAGAGAAAAGACCATGTTGCACTTGCAGCTATTTGGAATTGTATTGATAATTCCATCTTTTTTCACATTGGGGCATGCAAGATAGCCAATGAAGCATGGCTGGCCTTAGAAACCACATACTTTGTTTGTGACATTGTCACTCAAGCATACCTACAAAAAAAATTCATAACAATAAAAATAAAGGCACAAAAGCCAATAATTCAATACCTACATAACTTCAAAACTTTACTCCAACAATGACACTTTGTAGGAGTGAGTATTCCATCACAATTAGAAATACCCACATTAATGAGATCCATGCCACTCCAATATGGCATCGTCATTCAAATATTAAGAAACAAGAAATGTAACTTTATTACAATTAATTGCAATCTTCTTTCAAAATGAAGCAGCTATAAAAGGCTCTTCTTTAGAGTTTCAAACTCTCTTTATAGGACACAAAGAAAAGAGCAAGTGGAAACCAAAAAATACTTCAAAACCACCACCAAAAGTCCACAAATATACAAAAATAAAATTAAAATCCACCACATTATGTCCTCATTGTAAAAAGATAGAATATTGGGACTTGAATTGTTTTATAAATAAATCCAAAACTGCTGCAAATATGGCAGCAAATTACATTATAAATTGGAATCATAAGAATATATGAAAATCTAAAAATATAAAGAAAATATCTCTTATATTTTATGTCTATATATATTTCACAGAAGCATATTGCTTTGCAAAATTAACTCTACTCAGAGTAATCAAAGATGACTAATGATTCATCAACACTTGTGTAATGCACCACTTAGCACATAATAAGAATCAATTCATCTTGTTTGAACCTTTTTCACCTAGTTAAAATAAAATTTATCTTAGAGATAATACTATCCATCTTACATGTTGCCAAGACAAAGTAAAAATCAAAATGATGAATAGTTACATGATTTGGTTTACCAACATATTTTATGTTTTAGATTTGTAAAAGAATTTATTTTATGTTAGTAATTTTGACCAACAAGAAAGAAGAATATTCATAAAAAATCAAAAATATTGATTACTCTCTTATGATGATTTATTACTTATTGAATACCAACTTCATGATAATTTATACTTATTAGATACTACCTTAGAGTCTATTAGTTCTATCTTCCAAGCTCATAGTGTGACCAGTATCATGACCAATATATTGCCTTGGCACCTTCATTCTAATCTCAGATCCATATAATGCTTCTTTCAAGAATTCAATGCCAATCCACATTGCAATTCAAACAGTGTCGACTTCTTCCTACTCATGCCACGTTTTTCTTTTGTATTATTAAAATATAATGTATCATTACCTCTTCCAACTTTGAGTATCAAAGTCGGTAGTAATTATCCCTCTATTCTTCAGATTGGTGACTTTATAATCTCATGTCCAAAAATATATTAGGTATTATTTCTTACATTATTACTGCACCCCTATAATTGAAAAAGTACTCACTACAAATCAATATATACAACTAAAACCAATCCAATGTTTCTTACCAAAAAAAGATATTTTACATATTATTTTGAAGCTCCAAGCTCTATTTCAATTCAAATTCCGACTTATCATATTTTGACAAATATAAGAGTCCAATTATGGCATCAACAATTAAGATATATTAATTCCAATTATCTCAACCAACTTACAAAGCATAGAGCTATTACATGCTTATCTATAAGTAAAATCGTGCGTCATGTTTATTCTATGTATTTCTGTAGAAGCAAACTACAACCAAATAAAGGTGGCTACCTTTTGTCTCTCTCATCTCCTTGAGCTTGTTTATTTTGACCTTAATAGTCACATTGCTACTCCAACATTCTCTAGATTTGAGTACTATATGACATTCATAGACAACTTCTCTTGTTATAATGTGTTCCAACTCCTCTACCACAAGAATGAGTACTTTGATGTTTTCAAAGTGTTCCTTGTATGGGCCAAAAATTATATTGACCATAAGTTAAAAATCTTATAATTTGACCAAGAAAAAAAAATTCTCTCGTCTAACTTCAATTAATACTTGAATATTCATAGAATTCAATGTCAACTTATAATAATATAAACTTCCAAAAAAAATAGAGTTACAGAAGAAAAAATTGTACCTTATTGAATGCAACTTGGTCTATGCTTTATGATACCAAACTTGCCAAATCTTATTTGGGTGAAGCCATCATGTATACAAAATATCTTCAAAATCATTATTCCACCAAGGCCATTCCTCCTAACACCATTCTATTTGAACTTTGGGATAAATGCAAACTTGATATCTTCTACCTTCACGTTTTTGAAAATAAAGCTTATGCCTAAATTCTTGCTGAATTATAAGTAAAGCTTGACAATCATTCTATCAAATGCATCCTTCTTAGCTATAATTCATAAAACAAAGGTTACAAATTGAAAAAAATGAATATCAAGGTAATACTCATTTCATGTGGTGTTTGATTTTAGAAAATAAGTTATAAAATCAAATATAATTCATTTCTTGATTTCATGTTGTGTCTATGCCACCATACTCAATATGCTCTATAAAATCATTCTGTAACTTAAGTAGGTATCCTACAATACTGCTTCCTCAAATTCACCTTCGTTTACAACGATTTTTTTATCTTAGCACTGCATCTTAGCTCATAGCACTAAAAATGTTCTTTTGGCTTGTGCCTTCGAGAAAAACTACGATGGTTCTTCTCTACTCCTGAGAAGCCAAATTTCTTAAATTTTGAAGTGCAAATGAGTGCTCTTTACACAATTACTTTCTATACTGATGGAAATCACCATATATCAATAAGACTTGCTCTTTCCAAAAGCCTCTCAATAGAAATTTGCTATCAAGGAAGAGCTTAACTTCCATACTACCAATGGTACATGAAATTTTACTAAACTTCTTTCCAGCCAATGCCTCATTATCTATAGATGTCTCTTTAAATTTAAATTGAAATCAAATGGTACTATTAATCAATTCAAAGCTTGCTTGGTAGCTTACAAATTTAGCCAAGTTTAGGACCTTGGTTATAATGAGATCCTCTCCTTGGTAGTTAGAATCCAATTTGAGTGGCTAATCCTAGTTCTTGATACTTAATACAACTTCCACCTTGACCAAATAGATGTGAAAATAATATTTTTGGATAGAAATTTAAATAAAAAAATCTATATGAATACCTCAGAAGGGATATTACCTTCCAAACTTAGCATGGTCTATTGATTCCATAAGACTTTTTATAGATTCAAGCAATTACTCAAGGAATGATACAAAGGAATCAATAATTTTTTAGCAACTCTGAGATTTGAAAATTTGATTGCTGATATCAATATTTAATACCTCCAAGAAGGCATTTCTTTTGCCATCCTTATCCTCTGTGTCGATAATATATTAATTGCAAGCAACAACTTCTTCTTGTTACAAACCATTAAGAAAAAATTACATGGGTAATCTTTGCTTTTTGACCTTGACAATGTCCATCATCTACTCAGCCTACAAATCACCTATCATATGGCTTAAGGTTGGCTCCAAATAAATCAAACTCTATATATGTACTAGAAGGTGCAAGAATTTGGCTTCTATGATTTTCATCCTAACTTTATTTCAATTGCCTTTAGAACTAAGTTTTTTTTGTAATGGATTGTCTACTAATGGATGAAGATTGTGCAACTTACTCTAGCTTTTCATACACCAATATTGTCAGCTTGCTAAATTAAACTTATATGTGCATCCAATCTGATCTAGCCTTGACCATTAGCTTCTTTTCTTGATACATATATAATCTCAAGTCTAAGCACATTCAAGCTTGTAAATATGCTTTTTAATACTTACATGATATCTTAGGCTTTTACATCAAGTACTGATGCACTATTATATTTGATTTCCATTCTTTATGTAGGTATTGTAAT